TGGGAGATAATGGTGGGCACATGGGAGGTGTTTGGTAAGTTTTTGGCAACGGAGTAAACCTTTAGGAATAAGATGTGAAGCTCTCCCGCTACCTTCCACTGTCTTCAGTTTGAAAATTTCTTTTCTCTCCTTTTGGCTTTAGAGCACTTGAAGTTTCACGGTGCTAAATTTGGAGGCCGGAAGAGGCAGCCAGGGGTGATAACAAATGGCTCAGGAAACCTCAACTCTGAGTCCACCCCAATTTCCGATGCCTGCTACATCGGAGGCTCCATTAAGAAAGCATATCAGCTCTCATGTCCCTGGCTCCCCTGCAGCGTTGCGGACCAAGAACTAGCAGTGGGAATCCTGCATCTTAGTTTGCTTTAATAAGAAGGGGAAATGGGAAGGAGAAGCAGAAAGGAGTGAATGCAGAACAAAGCCTTGAGTGATGTGAACCACTTATGAAGCTCAGTTTTTTTTGTTTGTTGTTGTTTTTTTTTTTTTGCCCGAAACAGGGTCTCGTTCTGTCACCCAGGCTAGAGTGCAGTGGTGTGATCATGGCTCACTGCAGCCTCGACCTCCTGGGCTCAGGTGATCCTTCCACCTCAGCCTCCTCAGTAGCTGGGACCACAGGCTCACACCACCATGCCCAGCTCATTTTTGTATTTTTCTTGTTGTTGTTGAGATAGGATTTTGCCATGTTGCTCAGGCTGGTCCCAAACTCCTGGGCTCAAGAGATCTGCCCACTTTGGCCTCCCAAAGTGCTGTGATTGTAGGTGTGAGCCACCGCGCCTGGCCTCAGCTGTCTTCAGGGGACCCCTGGGGCAGAGAATACCCCGACTCTCACTGAATGATGGTATATGGTTGTCTGTCAAGAGTTCTCCACTGGGAGTGTGCAGCGTGAGATATGTGAGGGTAATGAACTTGCCACATGGCATTGACTGGCACTAGCCCTGTCGCTTGCCCTCGGAGGATCCAATGATACCAATGAGAGTGAGATCTAAAGCTAGGTGAGGGGGCTGTCTGGGAGCCAGTTCTGACAAGATCGGCTGCTGAAAAGCTCCTCCTCCCTCCCAGCCCACCCCTTTCAGTGTGAAAATGTGCCCTTATTATGGACCTAGTCTAAAAGCTGGTCCAGCCCAACAGAAGAGCTGCCTGCTAGTGCAGCCTGGGATGCTGGGCTGGGCCTCCTGGCACTCACCATGTCCTTCTTGGATTGCTCTTGGCATCTTTCGGGTTATGGAAAACTTGGTGCGGCCCCACCCAACAGAAACTGACTCCTTACATAGTACTCCTTCTTGTCCAGCTCAACTGTCTCCAGCTTCCCTTCACCCCTATCCCCTCCCCTCCCTGGTGGCCGTTGGTTGGTCGTTGACACATTTCTTGAGTCCACCCAGGCTCCTGTCATGCTTCCCCCGGCTTCTTGGAATCCTGCCCCAGTTTGAGGCTCCCCCTGTTTTATAAAATCATTAACTATAAGCAGCTTTGGGCCTTGCAGGCGAAGCAAAGGCCCTCTGCTTTCCATGCCTGGGAGTGGCTTGGCTGACCCTTATGGAGTCAAGGGACCCAGAGGAAGCATGGAGGCAGCTTCCCGCAGCCATAGGGAGCCAGTGTTCCATGAGGTACCCTTCAGGCCGGGGGTGTAAGGATAACCCCACCGTGAATAACAGCAGCTACTGCTGACTGAATGCTCGCCACATACATGCTAAACACTACGCTAAGGGCTTGAGGAGCATGATCCTGTGTAATCCTCACACTTCTACTCAATAGTTTCCGATTTTATGGATGGGGAAACCTTGAGAGGTTTACGTTACTTGTCTGAGGGTGACACAGCCAGGAGGTGGCGGAGGTGGGACTGTAACTCACACCTGCCAGATTTCAAAGCCTCTGCTCTTAACCTCTACACTGTGCTGCCTTGGTAGATCCACAAAATGCCCTAGAGAGAGGAACAATTGCTTTTTTTCTAAGACAGGATCTTGCTCTGTTGCCCAGGTGGGAGTGCTGTGGTGCCATCATAGCGTACTGCAGCCTCTACCTCCTGGACACAAGCAATCCTCCCACCTCAGCCTCCCAAGTAGCTGGTATTACAGGCACATGCCACCACGTCCAGCTAATTTTTGATTTTTTTGTAGAGACACTATCTTGCTGTGTTGCCCAGGCTGGTCTCAAACTCCTGGCCTCAAGTGATTCACCCACTTTGGCCTCCTAAAGGGCCGGGATTACAGGCATGAGCCATTTCACCAGCCAATAATTGCCCCCCTTTTTTTTTTTTTTGAGATGGAGTTTTATTCTTGTTGCTCAGGTTGGAGTGCAGTGGCATAATTTTGGCTCATTGAAACCTCCGCCTCCCGAGTTCAAGCAATTCTCCTGCCTCAGGCTCCCAAGTAAGTGGGATTACAGGCACCCACCACCATGGCGCCTAATTTTTGTATTTTTGGTAGAGATGGGGTTTCGCCATGTTGGCCAGGCTGGTGTTGAACTCCTGACCTCAAGTGATCTGCCCGCCTCAGCCTCCCAAAGTGCTGGGATTACAGGCGTGAACCACTGCGCCTGGCCCAATAATTGCTTTTTGAAGTCTTTTCGTAATACTTACTGAACACTTCTGCCTGTATGAAGCTCGTTACATGTATTAGTGCTTCTGAGGCTCCCAGTCACCTCTAAGATATGCCATATTATCTCAGATGGCAGAGGTGGAAGGAAACAGTCTCAGCAAGTTACTCAGCTTGTAAATGACAGTAAAGATTCAACTTGAGTCTGTGAACCTTCAGCGCCAGCATTCTCCTCCCTTGACTCCACCCTCCTGCCCCCAATAAGCCCCTCTGTAATTTGCTCTGTCTGGAGCTGTGGCGGTATTCACTATTGAGCCTAGAGGATGCCTGTTTCTAAGAATCTGTGATTTCCAAGCTGATGGGCCATTTTGCTTTGGAGCAGGGAGTAGCTGAGGGAAGAGACGACATGCTGGGCCTGGACGGGTGTGACTTCCTTGCACGGTGAACATTTGGATGGAGAAATGAGATCCAGACTGCTTTTAAGCACATTTTCATTTTCTCCCCGACCTCTTCCAAATTAGGGTGAAGGTTGCCGAACTGTCCCCCTGGCTGGACATGTGGGGTTTGACAGCTTGCCTGACCAGCTGGTGAATAAGTCCGTCAGCCAGGGCTTCTGCTTCAACATCCTGTGCGTGGGTAAGTATTTCCATAGCAGGAAATTCTATTACAGAATATGAATCCTTAATGGCTGGATGTGGCTTTGCAGGTAATTAGGTTAAATAGTGTGTCATTCTGATTTAGTTGCGAGAGCATCTCTCCTCTCTCTTTTATCTCTCTGCCTGTTTTTTTGTAAGCAGCTGGCTGTAATTACTTTTTTCCTCTGGCCAGACCAGAGTATAGAGCCATCTCCTGGAGGGAAACAGCGACGTGAGACCCCATGGACATTTTGTAAGGGAGCCGGCTGGCTCAGTACTGCTGTAGAGTTCATTTTGACTACATAAGACAGCAGCCAGGGCAGAATTAGGAGGGAGGGGATAGCTGAGGGAAACCGCCTGCCCACCAGCTGTGGGCAGTGGGTTGGGTCTGTCTGTTTCCTCTGTACTTTTGCTGTGCTTGGTTTAGTCAGAGGTCAAGTGCAGGGACCACACAGCTGTATGCAAAGTTCTTTTATTCCCTTTACCAACTATCTACTTAGACATTTTTTTTTGAGATGGAGTCTCACTCTGTCACCAGGCTGGAGGGCAGTGGCACAATCTCGGCTCACTGCAGACTCCGCCTCCAGGGTTCAAGGGATTCTCCTGCCTCAGCCTCCGGAATACGTGGGACTATAGGCATGCACCACCACGCCCAGCTAATTTTTGTATTTTTAGTAGAGACGGAGTTTTACCATGTTGCTCAGGATGGTCTCGATCTATTGACTTTGTGATCTGCCTGCTTTGGCCTCCCAAAGTGCTGGGATTACAGGTGTGAGCCACCGCGCCCAGCCGACTTTTTTTTTTTTTTTTTGAGACGGTGTCTTATTATGTTGCTCAGGCTGGTCTTAAACTCCTGAGCTCAAGCAATCTAACCATCTTGGCCTCCCAAAGTGCTGGGATTACAGGTGTGAGCCACCGCGCCCAGCCGACTTTTTTTTTTTTTTTTTGAGACGGTGTCTTATTATGTTGCTCAGGCTGGTCTTAAACTCCTGAGCTCAAGCAATCTAACCATCTTGGCCTCCCAAAGTGCTACGATTACAGCTGTGAGCCACTGTGCCCGGCCTCTACCTAGACACTTAACCTCAACAGTGGGAACCAAGTCTTAGCCCCCTCTATATGCTAATCACAGCACAAGTAGAGTTCGGTAATATCTGTGAAATGAATGAATGAGTGAATCCCGCAGAAACCATTCATTATGCTTTTCACTTTCTCACATTAGCTCTTTTGGGCATTACCAGGGCTCTGCGAAGTGAGCAGAGAAAGTAGCATTTGTATTCTTATGAAACAGGTGGAGACACAGAGTCTTGGGGCAGGTAAGGGACTTACCTGAGGCAACACAGAAGAAATGGCACCATAATGAGGGCTCAGGCCTGGCTAACCGCTTATTTTTCCCACAGCTTCTCTAACTGCTGCCAGCAGCATCTCCCGAGCACATGAAAACACTTTGGAAACCATTGAGCACCAATCAAACAAATATGAGGGATAATAGTTCCTTCTTTAAGAATCTCTTCTTAGGTCTTAAATATCCAAAATTTGCAAACATGATTATAGCATATAATTTTCACCCTGTAGTGTGGGAAAGCATACCTGTATATTTCCAGTGACCTCCTTCTGAACCTTAATAATTGTATAAATATCAGAATAAATTTGGTTTTCATACTGGCTAGAACACTCAAACGCTTTTGCTAATTGCCTTTTATTTTTGTATAGAATGTATGGGGAACTCGTTCATATAGTAGATCTGAACTACCACTAAATTGGATATTTTACTCTTTAATGTATTCAGAAATTCTGTTTTCTTTTTTTTGAGACAGAGTCTTGTGCTGTCACCAGGCTGGAGTGCAGTGGTGTGATCTCGGCTCACTGCAACCTCCACCTCCTAGGTTCAAGCAATTCTCCTGCTTCAGCCTCCTGAGTAGCTGGGATTACAGGTGCACGCCACCATACCCAGCTAATTTTTGTATTTTTAGTAAAGACAGCATTTCACCCTGTTGGCCAAGCTGGTCTTAAATTACTAACCTCAAGTGATCTGCCTGCCTCAGCCTCCCAAAGTGCTGGGATTATAGGCATGAGCCACTGCACCTGGCCTAGAAATTCTGTTTTCTCACTAAGGTCATTCATTTTCTTGGGCTGTTTATATTTTTTTCTTCTCTGTTCCCAGCATTCTTTTCCAGGTCACTTTCTGTGAGAGAATTGCTACATACTCAAGGACAAGTAGAAAACAACAGATGATGGGCAGTTGTTCTCACGAGCTGGGCTCACTCCTTAGCTAAATGATTCATTCCCACACACCAACTTTGGTTTTTGTTATCGTTGTTGTTTGAGACAAAGTGATTCTCGGCTCATTGCAGCCTCAACCTTCCAGGCTCAAGCAGTCCTCCCACTTCAGCCTCCAAAGTAGCTGGGATTATAGGCATGTGACTGGGCTCATTTTTTGTTTTTTTGTAGAGATGAGGTGAGGTTTCACTGTGTTGCCCAGGCTGGTCTCGAACTCCTAAGCTCAAGCAATCCACTTGCCTCAGCCTACCAAAGTGCTGGGATCACAGGCGTGAGCCACAGTGCCTGGCCCACATCAACTTTGGAACCTATCAGATGAAAATATATGCATCAGTTTCAATCAACAGATTTATACTCAAACTTATTTTTTAGATGTGACTTCTACTATGTATGTCCTTGTTCATAGGGAGAGAAATGTACCTGGAGGCATTAGTGAACAAAAGAGTACATTAAAAAAAGAAAGAAAATATGTGCCTCACAGAATTACACATCAAGGACTTTAGAGTCCAGATCTAGGCTGTTAATTCTTCAAATGCTGGAAGTCTAACTCATGGTTATGATTAGGTGCTATTTGGAGAAAAATGTGAAATAACTAGAAGTCATAGTAATCGACATCAAGTGCAAAGACTATCACGTCCAATGTTAGCACTGCCAAATCTCTGTTTAACTAACAAGAGCTCCAATCTTTGGCTGATGGCCAACTTATTTCACATAATATTTGATTACCACAATATTTCAGCACAAACATATCAGAGTCCTTTGGCATTCTTCCCAGACAGAACTCCATATGACCTGTACTGAAGTTGAGAAGAGAAATGACAGACCCACCCTAAGCAACCTTTCTTTTTTTTTTTGAGACGGAGTCTCTCTCTATTGTCCAGGTTGGAGTGCAGTGGCTGGCGCAATCTCAGCTCACTGCAACCTCTGCCTCCCAGGTTCAAGCAATTCTCCTGCCTCAGCCTGCCGAGTAGCTCAGACTACAGGTGTGCACCACCACGCCCAGCTAATTTTTGTATTTTTAGTAGAGACAGGGTTTCACCATGTTGGCCAAGCTCGTCTTGAACTCCTGACCTCAGCTGATTCACCCGCCTTGGCCTCCCAAAGTGCTGGGATTACAGTCGTGAGCCACCGCGCCCGGCCTAAGCAACCTTTCAACCAGTGCGATTGGATGGGCTAGTAAAGCATTAGGAGGGAGGCCATGTGACTTGAACTGGATCTCTGAGTGGGGAAGTGTAGGGTAATGTGATGTATGGAGCACAGGCTCCCCTAGGGCCCAGAGAAGGAGGCGGCCAAGCTCAAGGCAGAGTGGGTGGGAGAAGTAGTAATCCCCCATCCTCTAGTTTCCACCTAAACATTGTACAGCTACAAATGCTTCCAGTTGCACCTACTGGGATGGAATTGTTCAAGTGCCAAGGACAGACCCTCCAAAGGGGAGGAGTAGGAAGGAGATGCTCTCATCCTCAAGCAGTCATAGACTCTCTTTTTCTCCCGACTTGTCAAGTTTCAGGAAATGGCTGCCTCTGTAGCTCCCCTCTTAGACCCCCAGGTGCAACCATTGGATAGACCAGCCCCGACTGGGTTAATTTGATCCCTGTTCCAAAAAACCCTGCAATGCACGCATCCTGCCCTCTTGCCGTGCTCACCACCCTTTCATTGCTCAGAGAACCACAATTTGGGCCAAGGTCATGAGTAGCTTAGAGTAGCTCTGAAGCTGCAATGTCAGCCCAGCCATGGGGCTGGATCCAGTCACTGACTTGGCAAGGGGTCCATAGCTTAGTTGCTGAAGGTCATCTTTTATCTTGCAGAGCTTTTTGTAACCACAGTTTCATGCCTACTGCTTGTGTACATTTACTCCCTTAATGACTTGCAAAAAGATGCTGTTTGGGCATAGAATATATTTCCCCAAATTATTTTCTTTTCTTTTTTATTTTTTGGAGACAGAGTATCCCTCTGTTGCCCAGGCTGGAGTGCAGTGGATCTCGGCTCACTGCAACCTCCGCCTCCCAGGTTTAAGCAATTCTCTTGCCTCAGCCTCCTGAGTATCTGGGATTACAGGTGCATGCCACCACACCCAGCTAATTTTTATATTTTTAGTACAGACGGGGTTTTGCCATGTTGGCCAGGCTGGTCTTGAACTCCTGACCTCAGGTGTTCTGCCTGTCTCGGCCTCTTAAAGTGCTGGGATTACAGGCATGAGCCACCACGCCCAGCCGAGAATTTTTAATAATCCAGAACCTAATTTATATGTAAGAATACCAATAAATGGCACCTACAATTCTTCTTCTTTTTTTTTTTTTTTTGAGACAGAGCCTCACTGTGTCACCCAAGCTGGAGTGGAATGGCACTATCTTGGCTCACTGCAACCTCCACCTCCCAGGTTCAAGTGATTCTCATGCCTCAGCCTCCCTAGTAGCTGGGATTACAGGTGGGCACCACCATGCCCAGCTAATTTTTTTTTTTTTTTTTGTATTTTTTGTAGAGAATGGGTCTCACCATGTTGGCCAGGCTGGTCTCGAACTCTTGACCTCAAGTGATCCTCCCGCATTAGCCTCCCAAAGTGCTGGGATTAAAGGCATGAGCCACCGCACCTGGCCTATTATTCTTTTTAGAGGGCTAGGCACACGAGTGAGCATATTATGACTCCGCATATTATGACTCCTCTCCAATATATTCTCTAGGGTTGACCATAATTACCAAAGAGGTGAGGTTCCTTTCTGTTTACTC